AATAGAAAATAGAGCAATCTTCATTTTCAAGAAAATCATGACATTTTTTTTTCCTTATCTGTTTGGGAATTTTACTGTTTCATGCCTTTCTTTTTTTCAAGTCCTTACAATAATCTTCAATGGTAGATCGATAAATCCATAACCTGACACAGGTATTAGCTGGATTTTGATCTGAAATTTACACTGTATTGTATTCAATCTATATAATTAATGTAAAAACATTATGTTAGACACATAAACCAACAATGAGACTATGTTGAAAAATAATTTTTTTTTATATACCGACTTGTTTAGGCTAGTGCTGTCATCTTGGTCGTTATGTTTCAACTGTTGCACTTTCCAAACTTTTTCAGCTGTCTGTCATCATTGGTAACCTTCTAGGAATTTCAAACTGAACCTTTTATTCTGTCCATGGAGATAGATTGTTCTAGTACTGCTATTCATGTTAGATGATATGTTGCCTCAGTTAATTTTATCTAGATAATTTGTCCTTGTGGTATTATTTGTCACTTCCACTAGAGTATGTAACTTGAGTCACTTAACTAATGCTTTCATCTACATGTATCCTGTAGGACAATTTGGTTGTAGAAACTTAGAGGTTTAAACATAATGTAGATTGTCTTCCTTTTTAACTAGAGTATGACTTTTACACTACCCATTGTGCAGTTAAGTAGTTGAATAATTTTTTTATTTTTGACTTAATGTTCTTTTTTAATTAAAGGCTCCCACATATTTTCATTTTCTATGCTAGGTCAGCTGAAGAGGTTAGAGCTTAGCATATTCATGGATTCTTTCAGCTGCCTTATTTTCCAGTGTTGTTCTCTATTATCCTGATTTCAGTCCACAGAAATTGGTGACTGTCTCCTTTCCTTTTATATATGATCAGCTATATATGATTTCATCATCATCTCTGGGTTATAGCTTTTTCATCTTCTCCCTTTTAGGGAGCAACTTATCCTTGTATTCTTTTGTAATTGAACATACACAATTCTTGGTCATGTTCTCTTTTGAGAGAAGCTTGGTTCAAGAGAATTGTCTTCAAAGGTTGCTTTTGATTACTGTCCTGATGTACAGATCACAGATCTTCTGAATCTTTTCTCACATACCACTTATATAATGTAAATAGACTGTGGCAGTTTTCTGGCTCTTGTCCTCAGCCACTTTGTTGTGGAAACTGATGTTTGAAGAAAAATTCTTGCTCTGAAGGATCTTTCTAATGGTGATCCTCTTATGTACATATGTTTCAGGATTGCCACTTATGGCTTTTGCTTCATGTTGTGCACAGCAGATAATCCATTTTTCATATGATGACTAGTAGGAATCTAAGTTCAATTATTGTCTTGTGAATGTTGGCTTAAGATATACAAATACCTTGAAACAATATTTTGTGTAAGTTATTAGTACACCCATGAAGGCTAGATTATCTTCCTCCTTTATAGTTAACTGTTTTGGAAGTTTTAAGTTTATATGGTTTGGCATTACTTCATCTTAGTCAGGCAAGAGTATTAAATATCTTTTACACATCCCAACCACATTTTCTTAAAGCTTTCTAAAAAGATAAATTAACACCAACAAGTTTTACTTCATAAATCTAAGGAAAAGAAAAGTCTGTGTTTCCTTTTATTTGAGATGTGATACAAGTTCCTCCCATTTTAAATTCCTTCTATTTTAAATATTAGCAAAACTGAAATACTGTTGAGGAATATATTTGAAAATCAACAAAAGCTTTTCTTTAATATGGAGTATATGTAGCCTTATCAAGACTTTAGAAAGTACTGGAAACCTAATCCTAAACTGGAAACGAGGAATAAACCTGTTAAAAAGACCAGTTCATACTCCTCCCTGGGCTTTTGAACAGAAGTTTAGGTTTATCCTTTGTTTCATGTTTAGGATTGGGTTTCCTGTTCCTTCTAAAGTCTTTTTCATTCCCTTTTACTCCCAGTAGCCTCTTGCATTTTAATGGAATTATCACCTTACTTGGGGTGAATTGATGAAAACAAATAAATCTGTAGTCTGATGATGAAAAAAAGATTTAAACAAATTTATTTTTAGTATTTCATTTTTGAGATGAGTAATTGTCAATATTCTTGTATTATATCAAACTATTGTTGTCATCTTTGTTAATATAGATACAACATTTTGACCAAGTATCCTCTGGTCATCATCAGGTGTCTATTGATTTGGCTAATATGGGATAATATCTCTTGATTATTATGATATTTTGTTTTTGTGATCACTATAATTTTTTTTTAACTCTGTAAATAAAATGTTTGCTAGCACAAAATTTTCTGTAAGTTTTTCATTGTCTCTGGTTATGCTTGTCCACCTATGCTAACACAATGATTCTGTTTTAGTTCTGTAAATAAAAAAAATTATGGACTTTGCCATTTGTTTTTCTACTTAAAGATTTGATTGGTACCACATTCTTGTTCTACATAATCTATACACAGGATCTCCAACTTCCTCTTTAAAGTAGTGGTTCAAGATATTTTTTGCTTTTTAATATTTAATATTTCAGAAGTTTCCATACAGAAAAGACATTATGTCACTTTCCTACCCTATAATCACTAGACATATGAGATGTGTGATTTTTTATATACAAAATTCTTTCCATAAATAATTTAATCCTATTTTATATGTTGACTCAGGGTATCAAGTGAATGTTGGTGGAATGGGAGTAGAGGTTGAACCTTACTAATAACCTATAGTTTTCTGCCTTGTTTACAGTGGTAGTCTAGCAAAATCGTATTTGACATGAAAGCATATACAAAACAGTGGTGTGTCAATGATTTTCTTCATGTAAAAGAAATTGCATCTATTAATATTCATCAATGCTTGCTTAACTTTTATGGTAATCAAACAGTAAATGGGTGCATAGTTAGGCTGTGGGTAAAGCATTTCAGCAGTATCAACAGCAATGTATGAGACAGGTAGACCTGCATGTGATCTTGTTCATAACTAGGAAAAATACTTTGCTAAAGATAGTGATTATATGAAGAATAGTTTTTTTGTAGGTGAAAACTTATTTCATTGAACAAGGTTATTGTTCTCTCTGTATCTGTTATAGATTCCATGGATATAAATATGGGACATTAATTTCAGAGAGTAGATTCTCCTTATAAAATCATATATAGTATACGGGTAATTGAGAACAAATTAAAAAGAACATCAATAAAGGTATTCCATAGAAAAACACTTCATTATATTTAAATGTTCAACTTAGAAAAAGCAGCAAAACGTTTTTTTGATAAAACTGCCTTCAACTTCAAGAATGGCAACTTTGGAAGTTACTGCATGCCCACATCTGATAGCTTTTAATTCTAATATTGATCATCATGTCCCTGATTGTAGCCATTAGTCATTGGTATTATGAGGCTGCTGTTCAGTCTTTCATGTGATGATGTTCAGAAAGTTCAAATCTGAAGAATTAGGAAGCCAGATGCTTGAATGTAGGAGCGCATATCGTCTCATAGACCACCTCTTTGATCCAGGGCTTGTCCATGTTTAGCACCTTTTTATATAGATGATGGTATAGACACTTATTCTCTGTAAGAAGTGGGGGCAACATTATATGGCTGTCATTGCTCACGACCCCTCAGGATCACTGCAGATAACATGAAATTTATATCATCATAGGTGTCTCCATATGGTTTTTACATTCTTCCTGATCCCCCTCTCATCTTAGTCAAAGTTCTAATCAGAGAAAAAAATGAAGCAGGCTATGCTCCTCAGGGTGCTTGAGATTATTCAAGAAGTGCTTTGATGAGACCATCTGGTTCTCTCAGGTCTTGTCAGACCTCTCCTCATCACATCAGACTTGTACCTGATGTCCTTATGCACACCTGATAGTGTACTCTGCAAGCTTTAACTTTATATATCAGGCACATGCAGTCAGTAATTACTCAAGGTAGGCAGCTTATGACCTTTATGTAGTAAATCTACAAAAAAATAAAATATATTGCATTTTATGCATAATAATCAGAGTAACCTTCCTAATTTTGTTGGATTGGGTGCATATTGTGCCACAGAAGGAAAATGTAACTGTTAATCTATTTTATTTAGTGTAGACACTGCTTACACTGGCTACCTATATGGCACATCTCTGAGATATATATATATATATATATATATATATATATATATATATATATATATATATACTCAAGTTGGTATAAGCAATATACAAGGTCTGTCTAAAAAGTAATCGAGTGGGTGTGCTGTGTGAGCTATGGGCAAAAGAGGATTGTTTTATCAAAAGTGAATTGTTTTATCATTTAAAATGATATCTTGACACTGTATAACTGTAATCTTAGCTTTCTGCAACCATTGCATTTTTATCACATGCAAGAGTTTTGGCAGGACAAATCATGGCTGCTTCACTGCAACAATGCACCTTCTCACAAAGCCCTGAGCATCCAGCAGTTCCTGGCTGAGAAAAACATTTCCATTCTATAACAGCCTCCCTATTCACTTGATCTTGCAGCATGTGACATTTTTCTTTTCCCTAAGCTCAAGGGGATTATCAAGGGGACCCATTTTGAAGGCATGGAGATCATCAAGAAGGGTGTAACGACAGAGCTAAGTGACATCCAAGAAGAATCCTTTAGTAGTGCATAGAAGCATGGCAAAGAAGGATGGGAAAAGTGAATTAGACTTGAAGGGTATTACTTTGAAGCAGAAACCATTTACTTTGTTGTTTGGAATTGAAATAAATTGTTTGTGACACCAATCCAGTTACTTTTCAGACAGACCTTGTAAGTTGAATTAATTAATCTTAAATTATTCATTTTTGATTTATTAATATTTACAAAATACATTAACAGTTGAGGTGAAACTTATGTTTATTAATCTAATAATAGTAATTTAATATCTTCTTTAAAGTTCATTAATTTCAGAACTTTGTATGCAAAAAATATTTTTTAAGATTTGTTGGCTTCTCAACATTGATTCTTCTTCCAGACAAGAATTTAAAAAGAAACGTTTTGTTTTCTTCCTTTCAGGATTTATGTGAATTAACTCGAATAACGTTAGTTGAACTGAGTACTCAGGATAAATTGAACAGTGCCTTAGAACTGATTGTTGAGACGAGCCAAGACTTTACTGATTCTGCGTATACATCTCATGAGAATCGTGAACGCATTCTGGACCTATGTGATCAACTTCGAGCTCAGCTTGTCAATCTTATCAATGTTGGTACCAATCTGGTAAGTAAAATATTTCATTCTGAGTCTTTGCTACTTTTTTTTTCTTTTCTTGTTGCTTTTTCTTTTTATTGTTTACTTTCTTAGGTTTTCTCTTTTGTTTTGTTTTTGTTGTTTTTTCATTCTATTTTTATTTATCTTTTGTTCTTAGGGTTTTCTTCTTTTTAACATTTTTTTTCTCTAAGTTTTTCCTTTTTAGAATTTTTACTTTTCTTTTTTATCATTTCTTCCTTTTCTTTTTTTAGCTTTTCTCCTATTCTTTTTTTTATCTCTCTTTCATTTTTTTATCTCTTTCCTTTTGCATTTTTATTTTAAGTTTTCCTTGTCTTTTTTAAAATGTCTTCTTGTTTTTTACTTTTTATTGTCTTTTTTAAAAACTTTTTGTCTTTTTTTTTAAAAAAAAAAGAAAAATTTTTATTTTACTCTTTTTTTAAAATCTTTTTCTTATTTTTTCTTAAAAATTTTTTGCCTATTTTTTAACTTGCAATTTTTTAAAAACTTTTTCTTGGCTATTTTTTAATTTATCTTTGGGTTATTGTTTCAGTTAAATAATACTCAATCATTTATCTTCATCCAGATATGCATCATCATTCTTATTCCCCTGCTTATTTTTTTATTAGTACTTTTTTTTTTCTTTTTTTTTTTTACAGTAACAATGTTGTTATCCATGAGATTTGTGGTATATATCTGTAATTAGTTCTTTTAAACACTTACTATTTTATAATATACGGAGTGTAGATAAAACTGTTTTTCTCTTGTTTGGATATTTACTGTTCAAAGAATGCAATAATGATTCTTTGCTATTCACACTGTACCAGGAATCACTGTCTTGAGTAATCTGCCATATTATTAGTTATCGCAATCTGTAAGCTTTTATCAGAACCTAGAAAATTTGTTTAGAACCTATTTGCTGTAATCTCTTGAAACAATTGGAAAATATTTTAAAGAAAATAACTCATGGCCTTTCTTTTAAATATGGCATATTTTTGTAACCTTAGTGTCTTTACAAAGGTATGTCTTAGTTCTCACTCTTTCCTATGTTAGTAATATATTTTGTTCATTGCTTTAACATGAAACATTTTATGACCTTTGAATAAACAATGACTTACACTAACACTTAATCTTTTATATATTAAATAATATTAAGTATCTGCATATGCAATGAATCCATTTATTTCCTACTAGCTATGGATTAAATAGTAGATCTTGTATCTGAAAAAATTGTTAATGTAATATTCACTTATATAAAAAAAAAAAAACAATTCTTACAAACCAAAATATTTCGGCTTTAAATAAACCACAAAGGGTTGAAAAGCTGTAAAAAAAAAAAAAAAACAACAATTCATATATACTGCAATTACTAATACAGTTACTAATACAGTTGTCTTAGGATTGTGCTATTCATTTTGATTTGATTTTAAGAAATTGAATTGTTTCTGCCACTCTAGTTTGTTCAAATCAATTTTACTATGTCCACTTAATATTGCATATATTTTGGGGATATTTTTCAAGAACCTTTTTAAAGAAAATACTACTTTTTTATTTCTGTAATAGAACTCAATACCAAAAACTAAATATTCCCTTACAGCATATTAATATTTTGAGAGAAAATAACCCATGTTGCTATCATAAAGCATTTTACTTGGAATAGGTATTGAATGATTACAAGATTATGAGGTAAAAAAAACTTCTTTTCTTGTGTGCTTTCCCTTAGTGTCAATTTGTTTTTGAACATATACTGACTCATTTAACTGTTAAATAGCAAAGAGACACAAACCTCGTTATGAACATAGTTGCATAGACTGGCTGGCCATATTAATACCTCATCACAGATGACTTGGCAACCAACTTCCACTATGTCTCTTTGTTCTGAGACTCAGTATTATTCAACTTCATGAATGACTTAACAAACATTAATTCCAATGTTAAGAGTTAATTTTCTAGAGATTCAGTAACAATAAGTGTCTATAGACTGCAACTGTTTTGTGATTGTGCTACACATTTTCATTTTGTCTTTCCATTTTGAATATTTTCCTCTTCTCTCATTCTTTGCCTGTCTGCCTGGCCATGCCATCATCCTCCTTGCCTTGTGTCTTGCAGGATTGTTGTGACATACCCTGCTGATTAAGAAACATGACCATTCCATTTTGATTTGCATCTATTCAATGTAAATAGGGTGATTTCAATGGTTTGCATGTTTTTGTTTCTCTTTTTTTTTTTTTTTTAATTGTCAATGTAGTCTTTGGAGGAGGAGGAGATATGCCTAAGAGTTTTTCTAAAGAATCACATCTCTGGCCTCTATATTCTCTATATCTTCTGTCATGATTCATAAGCATTACAAGAATATTGAAATGACCAGAGAATACTTTAATCTGATCTTAAAATTGATTAAGATGCTTCTGTCACTTGAGATGGCATTTGATTTTATCATTGCTAATGTTGCCTGTGCAATCCTGGACAGCATTTCAGGCTTTAATTTTTGGTCTGTTACAATGACTCCCAGATATTTAAATCTCTGGATTGTTTCTGGTTTCTTGTCATTGACTCTGATGTCAGTGGGGTTATTGGTCTTCAGTTTAGGTTTTCTCTAGACTGATTTCCCTGCCATAGATTGTAGAAATCATGTCCAAGAATTTCAAACTAGTTATTTTCCCCTGCAAAGCTATCAATCAGTGATTGTTTTACCTCTAATGTTAAGTGGTCTTTTGCAATCTTCCAGTACATTATTTATGATTCTTTCAAAGAACACATTAAGAGGAGTAAGTAATCGCAAACAACCTTGCCATATTTCAACTGTCATAATGAACTAGTCATCCCAGTAGCCTTTGAACAGTCATTACACATAGAATCAGTGAAGTGCTAGTTAATAAATCCATCATGAAAGCCATCACTTTAGATATCTCAAGGGCTTTTGACAAGGTATTGTATAGGGAGCAGCATTTCTGTGCATTTTCTTGATTATCATTCTTTCCTTTATGGTAGGTCCATGAAGGTCATTATTAATGACCCATAAGATCAATGCAGGTGTACCACAAGACTCTCTCTCATTGGTCCTACCTTTTTTTTCTGCTATATATTAACAATCTGCCTAAGAACATTGTCAGATCACTAGTAAATATATATAGAGAGATGATACCCTGAATTATGGGTGCACCACCAAAACTCAAGTGAGATTAGCTACCAGGCGCTAGTTGTTACGTGTGGATAATTGTAACAAAGGAAAAAAAAATGATTTACCACAACACAGAGCTAAATCACAAACAAATATTTAATTTAATAAAACAGAACATAAAATATATACAGGATAAACAATTGTGGCCTACAAATCAGAGAACACAGTTACTGGCAAGTGTTACGAGGGAGAAGGAAAGGGAATCAAATATATTTATCACTTTAGGGCTAGTGAAGTAATCTAATTGCTATATTTGGAAATCCACAAAGGTGTGTAAATAAATATTAATTTTTAGTTTGGTCAATGAAAATTAATCAAAATTCGATTTACCAAATTTGTTCCATGAAATTCTCTTTTGGGTTTTGGTTGGTCGGCAACTTTTTATAGAGATTCTTTTGGCTGGATATAATAGTCCTTGAATCAAAAGCCGGAGTTGATAACAGCAGAAATTCTCATTCAACAACTGACAACCCTTTTCCAAAATCCCATTTTTATAGGGGCTAACACCTAATTTGCATATTTCTAGATGTTTCTCGAATCATCTAGATTTTTCTCGAATATACTAGAATGATCTAGAATCTTCCAAACATTCTATTTCTAATTTCTCTATTTTACAACTACTTCATGAATGAAAACTTTTTTGTAATAACAAGTAGAACTCAATGGAATCCCTTATTATAGAAATGCATCCTCGTAACACTAGTCATCTACTGAACCTGGCAGCTGATCTCTGCTCTGACCTTACTCGTACAGCTCAATGGAAGAAGAATTGGCTTGTAACATTGAATACCTACAAAACCAAGCTAGTAATGTGTCATCACAGAGCATACCTAAGTTTTCTCCATTCTATTGGAACTTAAGCTTACATCAGACCTCAAGTGGAACTTGTACAGGGTGTGGTAGAAATACCTCCCACATAAGACTTCATTAGATGAAGACACCATTGCCACTTGCCATTATGTGGGAAGTATTTCTGCCATACCTTGTATATATGATCCATTGCTAAAGATGCTGAACAATGGTTGGCTTCTTGTATTATTCCAGAAAATTCCTCCTGCTATGCTCTATCTCTACAAAAGCCAGGTTAGACCAAAAATGGAATATTTATTAAGTAGAGTTAAAATATGTCTACTCTAATGCACAAAAATCCAAGTTTTGACATTGCACCACGCATAGTTTTCTTATTTTTTATAATAACTGTTTGTCAGTCCAGTATGTAGAAGCAATCACTAGTGTGGCAGACCCTTTTCAGTAAATACTATACAGCAACAAAGACTTACTGATATGAATTATTACAAATACAATTTTGCTTATAAACCTATAGTCTAAAAAGTCTAAAATTTGTAAGGGTTATCTCATTAACATTAATGCTCCAGTTTCATAAGGATTTTGAAGGTGGAAAAAAACGTAAATCCATTTTTTTAACAAAGGGATTAAATGTAGAATTGTAAATGTGGTATAAGGCTACTGAGAAGAGAGTGCTATGTTTTGCATTACAGGACACACTGTTGAAAACAATGATTTTCTGAATTAATACATATGAGGAAGTGTGGAAAACTTCTCCATCCAACCAGTAACCAAACATCAGAATTTTGTAGGGCTTCTTGGAACTTTTCAACACCTCTAATCTTGTTCATGATTTCCAGCAATCTTCTTTTTTTTTTTTTTTTTTTTTACACAAATCACATTTTTAGTGATGATATATTTAATTTTAAATTCACTCATACTTTTAATATCTGAAAAAAATATTTTTAGGATACTTGAATCTGTTTAACTTCCTAAAAAGAAGAGCATATGCCCATATCACATTGAAATATCCAGCCTGGTCAAT